AGCCCCTTACCACTAAACCCCCTAGCCCTAAACCCCGATGTTTGTGAACCTCCACTATAGCCCTAAATCCTTCTGCCTCTAACCCCCTCAAAGCCCCTTACCCCTGCACCTTTATACCCCACACCTCTACATTACAGTCTTCTATACCCAAGGCCTTACACACACATATATACATATTTTCATATATACTCATATGTATTTTTATGCATATTAGCTATATAAATTAGTTTGCAAAACAACATATATAGCAATATGTTAGTCAGTATGCTAATCAATATGCTAATCAATATGCTAATCATTATGCTAATCAATATGCTAATCAATATGCTAATCAATATGATAATCAATATGCTAATCAATATGCAGTGTTTTCGGTATATTGATTTTTGACGCTGCACAAAAAATCAATATCTGTTTGCGAAATTGATTGATTGTAATCAATATGGGATGCTCAGGGTTGGTATTGCTGCCACTGGCGGTCGAAGAAGGCGTGGTAGCGTTGTTTCCCGCCACCTTTGCCGTTGCCCTTGTGCTCCGTGCGCTCCCACCAGCATTGTTGGCCTTTGCCTTGACGACCCTTGCCGCGTCCTCTGCCTCCGCGAGGGGTGTCTTGCCAAGGCGTGTCGGTCTGTCGCGGGGCGCGAGCGGGGCGATCGGGCTGGACCTCTGTGCTCATGGCTTCCTGTAGGAGCTGACTGTCGGCCATGATTTCGTGAGAGATGTCCTTGAAGGGCTGCTTCTTGCGTAGCGCGAGCGCGATGCGCCACGAAGTATTCTCCCAATGCATCTTGAGCTGGCCAGGCAGTCCAGGATGGCGACCTGGCTCTTGGGCTTCCAGGGCGTCTCGGGTTCGGTCTCGAGCTGTAAGTCGGCGTTCACGACCAGGGTCGTTACCTGTTCTGTGACCGTGCTCGCTTCCTGGCGGAGGTGAGGGTGTTGGGAAGGAGTGCCGCGGTGAAGTGGCGGTGCTGAACGATCTCCTCGAGGGGAATGGCGTTGTGAGCGAGGTTCTTGGCGTCGTTCAGGAGCTTTGCGAGCACGGCCTCCGCGCCCAAGAGGGTCATCTCGGGAAACTTGCGAGGGACTCCATGTATGAGGACCGCCTCATATTTGCGGACCTGTTGTTGCCAGTATCCGGGGGGTAGCTCCTTGGTCTTGGAGGATGCCGTACCTGTGGTCGTTGTTGCGCTCGGAGCACTGCTCGCAGTTGCCGATGTCGTTTTCTCACGGGCTTTTCGCCATGCGTGGCGTAGCCGAGCGCGGGCGACGGGCATGTCGGCGTCGGCGACCTCGAACATCCTCCCATCCTGGAGCTTGAAGGGCGATGCTAGGGGCTGTACCATCGCCTGGTCGAACTCCTTGACGTCCTCGCCCAGTTCGGCAAACATCTCGGTCGTGAGGACGCCCTTGGTCGCCACGTAGGCGATGAGGTCCTCCGACGCGCCGGCGTCCGAAAGAATCGCTCGAAGGCCGGTATCCATGGTAACCTGGGCACAGTGTACAGGCTAGGCTAAAAGGCTGCTGCGGAGCGTAAAACACATAACTCGGAGCGGTTGCAGACTCGGCCATAAAGCTCACTGTGTTCTTTCGCCCGGGCATGTCGCAGCGAGGCTGCGGGTACAATCTCAGCTAGAAGAGGAATCGTAGCTATCGGTCGACTCCGTGTCGGATGGCGGCTGCCCTGCCGCTTTCTTGCGACCCTCTGCCCCTGCCTCGGAAAAGCACTTCAAGCACAGGTTCTGTGAGCCATCGTCGTGTGCCCTGGTGAAGTTTGAGTAGCCGTACGGCCAGCCGCAGCGAGCGCGCCATTTCGCTGGCGGTCGCGAGGACTCCTCGGGGTCCCTCATGTGGGCTTTGCGCTTGCACACCAGGTCCGGTCGCTCCTGGATGGAATTGAGGCGTGCGGCGATGCTGTCCAGGGAGCCGATCATCGCTGCTACGGCCTCCTTGTCCTCTTTGTCCGCCTGGGCTGCGCGTGCCTTCTTGTCGTTGGAGCGGTCTCGGGTTCCTCCAGGTAAGGAGGTGAGTCCTGGTCCTTGTCCTTGAGGGCGGCTGGAGCGTGCGAGGGCGCTGGCAAACCAAGTGTGTTGATGCCGTAGAAGGCGTCCTCCAGTTCGGTGTCCTGAACGTAGCGCTCGATCGCGCGACTCCCCCACCGTCCAAGCAGCATGATCGTGCTCACTGGGATCCTCATGCGACACAAATGTTGAGCGCCTGAAACTCGAAGGCAGTGGCCCCCGAAGCGGTTCACCTCGGGCTCGAGGGGAGCTCCTGCTCTCGTGAGCGGCACGTCGGCCGCGGTGAGGACCGAATGGATGGCCTCGATCGACTGTGCCTTCGTCATCGGCTCTCCCGTGTCGGCTGCGAAGATGAAGGCCTCGGGGTCGGAGGGACACGAGTCGGCGATGCGGAGCGCTGCGTGGTAGGGGCAGATCGTCTCCGGAATGGTGCCGCAGTAGCAAGAGTGTCTCCGTTGCACCATGGACCCGATAGTGTCGTTCTTGCTGGCGGAGAGGGTGAGGCACACCTGCTTTCGCTCGGAATCGAGCGTCATATGTTTGACGCGAAGTGCGGAGAGCTCGATCTCGCGGCAGAGGAACCAAGAGCCCAAGACCACCATGGCGTGATGGAAGCGTAGCCCCTCCTCGAGCAGGTCGATGCAGATGTCGAGGGCGTCAAGTCGGAAAGCGTCCTTCGGGGCGGCGGTGCCCATGCCACGCTCGATGGATCTGATGGCGCATGGGCCACAAAAGTGGTTGCCATGTGCTGTCCCCGATCGCGTGCGGATCACGGGTCGATAGCACGTGCCCTGGCATACTGGCGAGCGGTCAGCTTTGCGCGTCTCGCAGCCTAAGTTGCAGTAGCCTTCCACTCGGTGGTCGGCGTACTTGCCCGGCGGGGGCTGTGCATTCACACCCGTCGGCAGTTGCCACACGACGGCTGTTTCGCCGGCGAGAAGATCACATGGCTCCGGCCACGCATCCCAGGCCCGGAGGCGTGCTTCGCGTTCTTGGCGGCGAGCGATGCGCTGCTGCGGCGCAGCCGGCGACACACACAAGAGGTTCGGGTCGACGATCCGGGGCTGGCCATCATCGTCGTCCTCGGGCGAGTCGTCGCTGTCCTCCTCGGCGCCATTGTCGCTCTCATCCTCTCCTTCCGCGGGCGTGGCGTCCTCGACATCTGAGGTAGGTACAGGCTGCGACGCAGCTGCTTGCACGAAGTCCTCCAAGTCGGGAGCCACAGCGTCGAAGAAGACCTCCGAGGGAGGCGAACTGGGCGGCGGCAAAGGCGGGGCGGGCGGCTCCTTCACTGGCGGCGTCTGTGCCATGAGCTCGAGGTCCTGTGGCACGGTGTCCTCGTAGGGCTGTGTGAAGACCGCGGCCAAGGTCGAGTCGTAGGTGCTCGGCACAACGGGCGGCCGCTTCTGTTTGGGAGCCGTTGTTGTGGTCGGCCCAGCTGAGGGAACACTCGAAACCGCGCTCTTCTCCTTCGCTTTGGCGGGCGAAGCGGGCTTGCTGGCTGCCACCGTGGGCCCTGTTGGCGGCTTCGCCCTTGGTTGCTCCACACTGGTCGAAGGCGAGGGAGAAGACTGCGAAGCGCTCGGCGGGGGTCCTGTCCTCGGCGGTGCGGGCGGGCTCGAAGGTGTAGTCGGCATAGGCTTCACAGGAGGCGTACCAGCCTTACCTCCTGCTTTGCCTTGGCTCTTCAAGAGCGGCCCAGGCACCACCGGGACGGGCGAAGCGCCTTTTGCCAGCAGCGACTGCTGCGCCTGTTCCAGCGTCTGGTTCCGCGAAGCGATCCGTGCTGCAAAGTGAGCATCAGTACCCATAAGTACCTCATGCCCTATCCCGAGCACTCTGCGGATCTGGACCGAGCCGAGCGAGCGAAGCAAGACCCGGATGTCGTCATCGCCCAGGGCTGGCAAAGCCTCGAACACCTCCATCGTGCGGCGAAAGGTCTCCAGCGTCATCGTCGCGCCGCTGCCAGTGGCTCCAGTCGCTGCTGAACTGGTAGTAGGCGCCGTAGAAGACATGGCGGCGCGGGCGAGCGAGCGGCAGCTATCCTGAAAATCTTTGCAAGCCTCGAGCGGGCAACAGCTGCGGTATCTTGCTGTTGCCGCTCGTACATGTCACTACGTGCACACGTGCACTACACTGCAAGTGACACTGCAGCAACCTCGGACCTTGATCTGAGGTCTGCAGCAGAACCGAGATTACATCGTTCATCTCCAGCTCCAGACGGTATGGCATGCCAAAGTCCTGGAAAAAGCCGATGTGCACCACCGCGCTCAAAGTGCTAGCAGGTGGGTGAGGAGAGAGGATTAGAGCGTTAACAGAGCAACGATATGCTTTCAACATGTCTTGGAGTCCTCGTAGCGCATGATGCCCTGTGTCGGCGTGAACAAGGACGCTGCAAACTTGATGGAGCCGTTGCATCCCTGCATACAGTCAAGCATCAGATACGCCGCCGAGCAATGAGAATCATCCCTCATCCGACATAGTCTCAAGCTGTGAGCCCTTCTGAATCCTATTCCAAAAACCATCTAACGGTGCGAGCATGGTGCTCGCGGGTGCTCCAAGCACATGTCGACGGTCCATCTCTGGCGAGAGCCTCAGTTTCAGAAAGCATAATACTGCACTGGCTTGGTGTTCATGCCATTGATGAGAAATCGGCCATCGTTTCCACTGAGCTCAGAAGTCGTAGTGCTGCTCTGCGCACCCATTCGAGACAAAAGGATGTTCCCAACACAAATGTGCACACTTGATTACACTCGCACAACCTAGCCTGCCTGCATCAAAACTGCAACAAACTTTCAATGCATAGTCTGCATGGTCATCACTATTACGTCATGCTCCTCATGCTCCTAAGATCCTAACAGTCCATGTGAGGGGTCCTGCTGTCCATCCGCTATGTTTCTCAAGCATTCTCGGGCTTCATTCCTATCTGCCCACCACGATTCTCGTGGTTCTAGCGAACAACGTACATGGTTCATCCACAGCTGGCCGCAGGCCGCTGGCACATCCATGCACATTCCCTGTACGAGCCGGCACCGGATCAACCTCTGTTAGTAACATGCGCCGAGCAAGCAAGGCAATCTACACATCTACCGGCTGTGCAGGCTTTTTTGCGTTCTGTTTACCGCGTGATACCACTTTGTGGAGTCGCCTCGGGCAGGTTCCCGTTGCAAAAGGCCAAGCAGCCAACTGTAGAGTGTGTTCCACATCAGGCCTTCTGCAGCTGACTGCCAGATAAACTTGCCTGTCAGCATCTTCGCACACGGCATGCAAGATTGTAAACAGACGACCGCAGGCGGTGATCTCAGCCCTCATGCCTCTTCCACACGCTCGCCGGGATGTCTGAAGAGACAGCTCGTCCCTTAGCCCATTGGCTGCGTAGTTCGTGGAGCAGGGCTTCTTCATACGACGCGAGAAGCCAGGCGGGAGGCGGGTGCAGTTCGCACCTTGGTTACACTCCTGCATCTTGAATTTTGCGCGGACACGCCTCAGATGATGGGCAGTTCTGCATTGCAAAATCTGACTGCCGAACAATACTAAAAGTCGTCCAAAGCACATCGGGGCAAAAGACAAGGGTGCGACATCTCCTCTTCTGGATCCATGATGTGTGCCTGTCATGACTGGCTTTAGTGCCACGATGCGTCGCCTGCTATCACATCAGACTGAGCAGAAACTATACATGCTTCCATCTAGCAGAACATTGCCCCAAGCAATGGGTCACACGGGAGTTTGCGGAAATAGTGCTGACAAGCCAATCGCCTCTGGACAGTTGCTGCCACGATCGCAGCGCGTGAAGCCTTGCGGCAGCTGTGTCAATTGTTGCAGCTACGCACATCTTCTGAAGAGACCGAATTTCAGCGTTAATACTCATGTTCAGGCTCTCTGTGTTCCCCTCGCTTGCCCTCATTCTCTTACAACGAAACAACATTGAGGCCCTGACAAAGGTACTGCACACAAACGCGATGCCCCAGCGAGGTGGAACTTGGTGTCGGAAGCGCTGTCCTTGAAGTGAGGATACGTTGAAGAAACTGCCCAAGATCAGCTGACCACCACCATCAACCAGGCACCCTACGGTGCGTGCAGCGACGGGCGGAGACCTGGAGCTGGGGCGTTTGGCCTGAGCTGCAAACAGGCCCTGACGCATTCACCCGGGCCAAAAACAGAAATTCAACCGTATTGAGTATCTTGATTCTCTTGCCCAAAACCTGGCAGGAAGGGCCAGGAGTTTCACAACCTAATCCTTTAGTCCCTCAAGCGTTGTGTGGAACCAGTTTGAGTTGCCGGCGCATAGCTGGACTGCTTCGGCAGCACATTGAACCCGAGAGCTGCTGCTGCCGCAACTCCTGCCTTGTTGAGTGCTGTCGATCAACACAGCTCCGTGTAGAGCTTGCAGAAGTTTAAGTCGAGTCTCAAAACGAAGATCAAAGATGGTTTTGAACGTAGACGGGTTCGCAAACCGCACCCCCACTCAACGGTAGAATGTGTCTGCAGATTGCAGGTTTACTCTTACAAGTATGTTCCCAAGCGGTGACACATGCCTGCAACCGTGCGAGGAACCAGCAAGACTGAAGCCGATCTTCAGACTATTCCTTCCGTGGTAGGGTTGCATGCCGCTCCTGTGCTGTATCCGCACTTCCGGCTTGAGCTTTCCGGGCCTGACAGCTGAAACAGGCAGGTTGTCATGTCTTCCCACAACCTCTTCAAAGACCGTGGCAGCAGACACCATGCTAGACGTGCCTCGCCGTCCGTCACTTGCGGAGGAGCCTTATGCGAGCTTTGTCCGTGCACCCAAGCACAACAGCCAGAGGGCAGATATTTCACTGGCTTGGCCGAATAATGGACCGGGTACTACTTATAGCATTAAAGCTTCGCCATCAACCTGCACATCACTTATCCGGCATCTTCATCTAGCAATGTTTCGATGAATCTTCACTGTGGGCCTAACCCAAGAATCGGGAAGACTCGATACGCAGCGGTCACCAGCGTGGACCCCAAAACGCTGACATGGGTGAACCGGTACACTAAAACAATTTTGCAGACCTTGCCACGACAATATTCATGTTCTCTGCCTTTTGCCACTGCGATCCGCTAAAAGCAGCCTGAGTTCGCTTTACACAGGTCCGCACCTGCAACTGGCACGCCACACTCTTTCTGCACCACAAGGCTTGGAGCTGGAGTTGGCAACATTCCAACAACAACTATTCACTGATCTCCAACGACTGGCGACTAGTTACCAAGTTTCGGCCGGCAGGCACGACAAAAGCTTGACCAGTGCACAACCCAAACTGTCAAACACTGGAACAAGCTTTGCCTCCGTGAGTGCGGCCTGCCCAAGAACCGGCCGGGAAGACTAAGCGGTCCACATCTACTTCCACGGCCAAACTCGGGCTGCGGGAACGACCTTGCAGAACAGGGAAGCTTTGATCGAAATCGAACTGTCGCATCCGCATGATGAAGCCTCACAATACTGGAATGAATCACCCATGTTGACATGGCAAACAATCACACGTTCACATTTTCTCAAAAGATGATCGAACTCATGGTTGGCTTTTTCTACTTACGACATGCTGGTTGTTTGCCAAAACTGTGCCTGGCTGTGTCAACACGGAACAGATTGCTGCAACCGCGCATGCATGCGTGTCAATGCCATCGTTAGCTAACCTGTCTGCAGGGTGATCTCAGGACATGTGACTGGGTTAACGACTCACTGATCCGCAAAAGGGCTGCACTGTAAGGTATCATCAACAGCGAGGACAACCATGTACAGCGATGACGGTAGATGCTGCTTCACGTTCAGTATCACTTGGCAGGTACGCTGAGTTGATCAGACTCGGTATCCCATGACTGTGGCGGGTTCCTTGAGTGCGGTAAAATCTTCCCATCGCGGCAGGAATGCCGGCAAGAAAAACTGAAACACAACTGGATCTATCTATTTCCTGCAAATACCTACGAGGCTGCGAAGCTACCCATATGCCTATAAGAGGACCAGACCGGACCAGACGGGCGCAAGTCAGTTCACGTCTTGGACCACATGAACCGCAACACCGACCACGCCTTTCTTCTTCCTGGTCTTCTCAACCTCCTCACCCTTATCTTTGTTCTTCTTGGGCTGCCTTGACAGAAACGAGCCGTGTTCTACACCGCGTATAGGTGTGCAACCTGGCATTTGCAACACCTGATGTTGTTTCAAAGGCTCCAGAAGGTGCTTGCCAGCTCGGCGGCCAGGTACCGATGCAGAGAATCCGCACGCAGACCATTTGGAATCAAGGGCTTGCAAAACACCTAAGGGTTGCCGTCACCGACAATAATGATAGAAGCCTACCAACCTGATGGTACCGTCCCAGCTCCATCAGCAAGAAATCTATAAACCCAGACATTGCTGTCACTGAAGACAACGCAAGCAAGAGTTCAGGTGTAGACAGAAAATGCCAATCTTGTGCTGGCGATCACTTCGGAAAACAAGGGCGAATCGCCAGGTATGCAAACGTTCTTAGCTGGCCAGCCTGTGGCTCGCAATTCACAGATCATTCCCGCAAAGCAAATTGGGAGAAAAGCTTTCGAGAGGTCGTCGGTCATCGAGAAAAAGCTACAGTCCGAATGGCAAAGTCTGTCTCCTGAAACAAACCTCTACATGCTGTTCTGCAGGCGAGGCTCCTCTCCTTGTCTTTCTTCGGTGGCACCTTTGTACCTTACAAGCCCAAAGGTCAGTCATCCGCAGAATGCATAGCACCCTCAGATTAGTAATGCTGCAGGAAAACAAAATGCACCCAACCAGACGCTGTGAAACCTGATTTCCCTCGGAGACCAGGACAAAAACACATCATACCCGCAACTTGCCAGAACTCAGGATCAAAGTTATGGCCTGGCTCGTGACTTTCGATGATGCAAACCTGTGCGCAGGTCTCGAGCATGGAGTCTTACAGCGAACCGGGTGTCAGGCCTCGAGGTCCGTCACGGATGGAGCCTGGTGGATGCATGTCAGAAAAAACTCCAACCGGGAAAACCCGCAGCAAAACTTCAGACACCGGCGTCTGCCAACATCGTCAAGCTCGGGCTCCGTGAAGCACGAGCATCGCGAGTAGTTAAGCTGCGGCCTGGCACAGCTGTGATGAGCAGGCTGCGGTGTAGCAGCATTGCCGACTGTCTGAAGTTCTGACTCGCAAGCAGTGTCAGAAAAATGCAACCAGGCCGGCCTGATTCAGTTTTGGCAAGCTGCAAAGGGGCCTGGTTGACAGATAGCTCTCACAAGCACAGCAGTGTCCAAGCCACGGCGACAGGGATGCACAATTTGCGGTCGAACTCAAGGGCAACTACTGCAGTGATACCGGTTGGCCGCTCCGTACTCCGTCGCACTCCACTACAGACTAAGCTGTTGCTGCCTTGCCACGGTCTACTCCGGGTTTACCTTGCGACTTGCCACCGTGTTTGGACGACTTTGGACTCTGCTTGTTTCCAAGGCCTTGAGAACGTTGGGCCGTAGGGTTCGCAACCCCCAGCCAGTTCCGAATGTCGTTTAGGTCTACATCCTGTCCATGCCTCTCCCAACTCCTTTCACCTCAGTTTTGTCCCTACTCACCTTGGGCGGGCATGCTTCTTTTCGGCATTAAGGTTCTGCAGCTCCAACTCCGCTTGAACTCCATCTTCGGGTTTGCGGTTCCCTGCATCGGTTGGCCGGGGCATTACTCAGAGTTCGACTGCTGACAACTGTTACTGCCAGCCTCTGCACTTGTTTGGTAGTGCAACTACCAAACTCGTCACTCGACTTACCACGCTACAAAGAACAGTGTCGTTCTGGCTCACCGCAAAGAGCGTTCGGGAGGGTACTGTCTACACCAGGTCATGGGGAAGCATGAATACTGACACAAAAAACAGGCAGCAACCGTTCTATATGGATTAGGAAGTGCTGCTCCAGATCTAGAGAGCCGTCTCACGACCTCTTTCAAAGTATTGAGGTGCCCACGTCTTTCAGGACTGAGGGTTTCCACTGCCTACCCCTCTGCTTAAGCAAAGTCCAAGGATGCTCACACAGACCCTACAGGAAATCATAAAGCCCAAAAACATCCTCCATTGACTCGCCTTAGGATCAGGGAATGCCACGACCCCTCTCCGCTTCAAAGTTCAATGTGTGCCACTCCCCTGTTCATTTTCCAATCCCTGTAAGGCTCGCACTCGATAAGCACACACATGTTGAAATATGTGTGTTCGTGATGCTGCTACTGTACATTTGACAATTGATACTCCTTCAATTTGATCTTTATCAGAAAGGGCTATGCCTCAAGGCAGCACAACAAGGCGCCGACATCTGCCGGCAGCATCATCGTCAAGCTCGGGCTGCGAGAGACAGCTTGACCACCTGACTCATTCCAAACGAGACCGACGCAGCTGCAACAATGAAGCAGGCTGACGGTCAGCTGCCTTCTCTTGTGCACTGGCTACAACGGCTACAATATTAAAGTAGAGCACTGCCTGCACGGCCGAGTACCTGTTGCGAGAATTAACCCACGGCCGAAACCCTTTACAACTGACTGTCCGCTTAGAAACCCAGCAGCTGCTGCAACTTTTACAAAGTGGCATTGGGTATGTCATTGCACCGCGACCTGCTTCGGTAAACGCGACCTGTTGCTTTCAGCGTCGCTGTTGCGTCGCCACAGCGATTATGCAGGATCTGTGGCTTGTGGCATTCCGCAGCAGGCAACTTCTTCAGACAGAAGCGAGCCCGAAACGAGCCCGTCCTGCCTTTGTTTTTTTTGCTCTTGCTTTTCTTGCTCTTCTTTTTCTTCTGCTCAGAGGCCTGTGGACGCGATTCACTACATCCTTCTGCAACCGCCAACACAGGCGAGATCATGCCAGCATGCACCGGCAGCGCGCCTCTTCGCTTGAAGATGATCCTCCTGCATCTCTATGTAGACGCTATGTGATGTTGACCGAGGCTACCCGGCCATGGTTCGCATGAAGCCTAGTAGAACGCTCTAGAAGTATTCCTGAGTACATTCATATAATATGTCAAGTGGATTCAAGTTGTACACATCTGCCTGCCGTGTCAGCTTCATTCCGCTTCGGGTGAGAATCTAGTCCAAACGGTTGGCATTGACGTTTGGATAAGTGCCTCCAAACATTTGTCTAAACGTCAATCTGCATCTTGCGCTTATGAGGACAGTCTTTATGTAAGTGTACGAAGAAGCTGCGTTCGGCTGACAAATCACATAGGCCTGAGCAGAGCATACGTCATGACATCGTCTAGCTGTGTCGTGTATCACCATGTCTGAAAACCAGCATCTACTGAGACCCGACACCCTCAAATCACGTCCGAAAACACGGCGTGATTAAGAGGCCTAGTACCCAAGCACAACTATGCACCACTGTATGACTGCAGTGACTGCAGCAGGGCCACGTTTTTTCTTCTTCTTGGACTTCTCTGCCTCTTTGGCATCCTTGAGCCTTGCCTGGTCTTTTTGTATCCTGGGCAAGCGATGGATTGATGCCCTCCCATGTTTCAGGTCCGGGATTCATGTGATCTCACGCTGGTCGAATCCAAAGTCTGTGGACCCATACATCCATACACATCGTACCAGTGCCCTCTGGCCTCTTGTCTTTCGTCTTCACTGGCTTTTTTGCGCCTATCACGCTTGGTGTGATGGCGCCCACACAAGACAGGCAAGTGGAAACTAGCCATGAGGCAGCCCATCTAAAACTGAGCTCCAGCTCAGGATGTACACCCTGGTCCTTTCCTGTTTACCCCCTGCTTTCCACGCCGCCTCGTTTGCTTGGTCGGGTGAGCTAGTACCCTTCACAAACACAGTGCATTAATCCGAAAAGACAGACCGCAAACCCCCCCCTTCGACCAAACGAGCACCTAACAAGCGCCTGGCTGATGACTGTCTACCGCCTCAGCGGTCCAGACCTTTTCAGGAGCGTGATGCTACGCATGGTGTAGCGGCTTGCACAGTGAAAGCATGCACAGTTGAATCTGAACTCTGTTGTAAGTTGTCCATCCGGCTTGCATTGGGATGCTGTTTTATCCCAGAGGGGTCCTTCACACCGACGCTGACATCATACCTGGCTCATATTGAGGCAACTGGCGTCTGCGGTTAGAACCACCAGTGTCTGCAAGCAAGTCTGAACTACGGCACACTCCGCGGGTCACTGGTCCAACACTGGTCCAGCTTTGATAATGAGATTGATCCTGTGCAGCTGAAAAAGGGTTAATGCAAAAGTGGACTGCTTAGCCGATCACATATCATATCTTTAATCTCGTGCTCGCGTGCAGCACAACTTGAGAAACCTCCACAACCAGTGCACGTGATGACATCACACGAAACTTCACAAAGTCGGAATTATGAGCAGTCTTACCAGGGCATCCGACAGATCGCTCTTCTCAACTGCCGTGGAAATCCTTGGCTGCATATCCGTCTACTCATGCATGGATCGTTGGTTGATGTTGGTTGCATCGCTATGCTCGCCTCCCATTCATTCCCGTCAACTACACCTACAGAAATGCATCATGCGGAGACTGCCATTCCAAATACGTAATCCCGAAGAAAAACAACTCCTGCATCACACACTTCTGCAACGGCAAGGCACTGCGTCAAAGGAACACATTTTCGTGCAGCCTGCGATTGAATGAAATGAGCACCCACCCTCCAACAAACACGGCTCACCTGCTTGATGGGCGATCAAAGCCAAGAAGACCGGCAAAGCTACATGCATCTATTGTAACGACCGTAACGACAGCAATCAGTACTGCCTGCCTGTCTTCGAAGCTCTTTCACCTCGAACGCACATGCTTTTTTTCGATTGGCAAAGAACAATAGCAACACTTACCTCGAAACCAAGACATCTGGCAAACACCAGCTATTGAACAGTTATTGCAAGTGAGCATACACCTCAGGCTGACACAGGCAGCTTTTCCAACAAGTCCCATTCATCCTCCCGCATCACAAAATGAATCTCGCCTGCACTGCTGCAAACTGACATACTCTAGTATGTTGGGCAACCAGAAATTGCCACAACAAACATGGAATCACAGCATTATGTCGCACCAGCACCGAGCTGGAAACGCACGTCATAACATCTCCTTCTCTTTTCCCATCGACGATCTTGTTTGTTGTGCTACATCATGGCCAAGGAAGTTGCATGAAGTGGCTAGTTCATGTCCGTGTTTGTTGCAATCCAACCTATCCTAACAACTGTCAGTCTCACATGAACTGCTTTGGTTCCGGAACGATAACGTTGAAACCGCTAATTTTCGAGTAGCGGACGACATGAGCGCTGTAGATGCATCACGCAAACTGACAATGTTAACATTAACATTCTACCGGCATGCTTCCCTGGAAGGAACCACCACCAACAACAACCACTGGAAAGATTTTCCGTGCGGTAATTAACACTTTCACACAGTCCATGGTCCGCCTGTCTGCTGAAAATGAAATGTAATATGAAATTTTGCGGCTAGAACGACGCGGGGAATCGTGTGTGGGGTGATGTCTTGGATTCGTTGAAGCCTTGATTGCGTTCGAGGCTGCAATCCCCTGAACCCTTATCGCACTCAAAACAAACCCGCTATCCGAAAAAGAGAACATGGTCTTTGCGAGGGCGGTGGGGATGTTTGGAACCTTTGTCCAAACCGGTTAAAATGTTTCACTCCCTCTGATCTCCACTTCAAACCCAAAGGTACGAACATAGAGTTTCGATTGGAACCAGAACCGAACATGATATGATTTTCGAAGCCCAATCCGAAAAACAGTTTCATGCCAGAATTCAAATATCGACTACCTGCTTCACAGAATTCCATTTAAATAAAAGAGTTGAAAAGTAACAATCGACACGGCGGAGTTGCAAGCTTCAGTTCTGCTCCCGCAGCTTTCGAGTCACCAAATTTTGTGTTCGATCGCTAGTTTCGGAAACTCCAAATTCCATGTTCGAACTCTGGGTTCGGGAATGTTCGAACCCTAGTAAATTCCATGTTCGAACCTCTGGATTTGTCAGCTCGACGTTCCAAGGTTTATAGTTTAGGGCTTTCCGAAACCGGTTCGAACCCAGAG